GAGTGACAAGGTTTGGATCTGAATCTCTGTTTAAATGCAGGCAGGCTGTCTTCCGGGAAAGCCTATGTTGATGAGGGCTGCGGTGGGAGAGTGAGTGAGCTCCTGCCTGGCACCACCCCACCTTGGAAGGGGCAGTTGGGTAGGAGGTTTCGGAGGCTGTAGACATGGGGATCGGTTGCTGGAGACAGCCCCTGCTGCTGCTGATTGCCCTGGTCCTGTCCGCCAAGCTGGGTCACTTGCAAAGGTGGAAGGGCTTCCAGGAGAAGCCCATGAGCAAAAAGAACATGAATTCGACACTCAACTTCTTCATTCAGTCCTACAACAACGCCAGCAACGACACCTACTCATATCGAGTCCAGAAGCTAATTCGAAGTCAGATGCAGGTTTGTACCTTGCTCTCCCCAGATATCAGCAGGCCCCATTCTTGCCCATTCAGACACGTGAGGGTTCTGGGGTGACTCCCGAGAGAGCCGACCAAGTTCTCTGCCAGGCCCCAAGTAGGGAGCAGCTTCACTTGTAGAGGGCCCATTGTAGAATTGTTCAGTTCCCAGAATGTCCTTAGCCATAATTCCAAAATGCGTGTCTAAGGACTGGCATGAAAAATGTTCAAGTGATGCTCCCACCTCAGGCTCCTGATTAGCTGGGATTATACACACACAGCACCACACTTGGCTAATTTTTTTCATCTTTAGTAGAAACAGGGTTTCACCATGTTAGCCAGGCTGGTCTCGAACTCTTGACCTCAGGTGATCTGCCCACCCTGGGCTCCCAAAGTGCTGGGATTACAGGCGCAACCCACCATGACCAGCCAATTCTTCTTCCTCGGGAAGAACTGCCTTTCATTCTGATATTTGATCCTGCCAGAGTGACAGCAAAGCTGATGCTCCTCCCTTTAAAGTTCTCATTTGACAAAATTCAAATATTCTCTGTAGGCCTGTAGCCCTCAATATTTTTTCAGTGTCCGGGTTTGTAAAATTCAAAACGGGGTTTCCTGTGTTATACGAATTTTAAATTGCACAGAGGATTTATTTTGGGAGTGGAGGGGATGTGAGAGATAGGTTTCAGCCAGATCACCTCGCCTCTGTTTTACATATACAATTTCTCTCAAATATATCAAGTGAAGGGTAATAGAAGAAAGAAAAGTTGTTTGGGAGTCGCTTTTATTGGTCCAACATTTCCTCAAGGTCAGAGAGTAAATGATACAGTCATCCTTGGTGTCCACGAGGAATTGGGTCCAGGACCCCTCAGGATGCCCACATCCACGGGTTCTCAAGATTCTGATGTAAAATGGAATAGTGTTTCCACATAACCTATGCACACCTTCCCACATGTGGTCAGTCATCTCCAGATGAATTTATAATACCTGGTAGATCATTATTATACTGTACTGCTTAGGGAATAGTTTATAAGAAAAACGTGGTCCATATAGAGGCAACCATACATTGTTTTTTTTCCTGAATATTTTGATGCATGGTTGTTTGAATCCACAGATGTGGAGCTCTTAAGTACGGAGGGCCGACTGCAAAAGTCAGGGTAGCAATACTACGTCCTAGTTCAATTAGCTGGATTTGGGAAAACACAACTGGCTAGGGGAAAGCTCTCTGGCCAGACAGTAAGGAACCCGTGAGAACCCGCAAGGCAGGAGGGCAGGGTGGGGAGGATGTTTCGCAGCAGTTCAAAGTCCTCGTCCCAGGGCAGACGGGCTGGCTCGCTGAGGCACTTCCACCACGAGATGGCGATGTTGCCCATTTGGTGCTTTCTCTGCTTTTGGGATTGGTCGGGACCCCAAGGAAGCTTGTCTTGAGAAATCAATCTACTTCCTTTAAGTGAGCTGTTAGAGAGTAACGATGAGCATTGGACGTGATTCACATTGCTAAGCAGACAGAACAGGCATGCTTCCTGGTCGCTGGCTGATCTTGGCATGGGCCTCCGGGCACCCCCACACCCAGAGGACGATTGTGTCTGTCCTGACACATCGCAGAGGGGACGAGAGCAGGCATGGAGGGCTGCCAGGTGTGTCTCGGCGCTTCACACCCAGCTCCTCCCAACTGAGGCCCTTGGTCAAGTGACATCCAGACTCTCCAGGCCTCAGTTTCTCCCCCTGCGAGGCGGCTCAGCATAGGAGGGAAGTGCTTAGCACAGTGCCAACATCTAATAGCACGTGTAAAAATCCTTGCTGTGATGATGACTACTCCTGCCATTATCAAACAGAGAGGTCTAATAACGAATAACACTTCACACCCTGGAACGTCAGTTACATCGATGACGGGCGTTATAGTTTTTTCTTACATCCTGAGCAGCGTGCAGAAGGTCAGCATGACCATGCCTGGCGCAACCCTGCAAATGCCCATGCATGGACATCCCCTGCATGCTGGGGTGCTGGGACCCTGATACTGCCCTCAGGCCTAGCACCCCTGCTGCCCTGTCCTGCTGTTTGCTATGGGTATCTTCTTCCTAGGAGCAGTGTGGGGCGCTCTCTGCCTCAGTCACCACCCCAGAGACGACCAAGCCCTCTCACTGGGCTTGACCAGGACAGGGCAAGGCAGCAGGGAGCCTCCCAGAGCTCCTCCTGCACCGGTGAAAATCGTCTAATCCACACATCTACTCAGGGAATCCAGCTCAGGACCCGACAGGGAACAGTAACCCCCAAGCTCTCTGTTAAGAGTCTCCCTTCTGGGTGTGGGACCTCCCTGCCCACAAGGGCTTTTCCAGGCTCCACCCCCTGTAGGCTTCATAGCCTCACACTTGATCACAGTGAAAGGGCCACGGGGGGAGCCCTGGTGTGTGTTCTCCTCGGCTCGTGTACCCACCACACCCTTTTCCTTCATTTCTCTACACTCTGTGAGGAAACTGGCATCAATCTCCTTGTTTCCTAGATGAGGAAACTAAGACTCAGGAAGCGGAGGGACTCCCCGAAGGTGACAGAGCCTGCACTGGGTAAAGCCAGATTTTGTGTCCTGTTGCTCCCCTGACTCTGAATCTGCTTCAGAGTAATGCTGCAGACACTTTGCTAAAACATTTAATAATTTATAATGATGAAAATATTTTAAATTTATTTTATGCATTATGGGAAATGCATGCTTCCATTTAGCCCACGTAACACCTCTGCGAGGAGGCACAATTGTGACTTGTGCTTTGTAAGTGAAAAGGCTGAGGATGCTAAGGAACTTGTTCAGGGTCACAGTCAGTACATGGAAAACACATGCCCCAAATCAATTTTATTCCAAAGCTGTTTTTGACTGTGTTGCTAAGCTGCCTTCTGCTAGGTTGGTCAGGAAGGATAGTAGGGAGAGAGGAAGTGGCAGAAGGGACTGGGAAGGTGGGGACAAGATGCTCGCTCTGTTATATTATGAGGGTCACATGTGCCAGCCCGGGAGTGGTCTGTGGTGGCCAGGAACCTGGCTTGATGTCACCTCTTCTGTCCTGAGGACGGAAGGGAGGCAGGTGAGAAGCTCTCTGCGGGGCTGCCACAGCAAAGCCAACCTATGACCAGGGACTATGGCTGCCATTGCCCTCCCTCCAGACAGAAGAGGGAGAAGGGAGCCGTGATTTTGGTGGGTAAGCTCTGGGAACACCAACTGTGGCTCTGGGGATTTACTCTCAGTCCAAGCTTCTCCAGGAGCGCTCAGCCACTGGGTTTGGAGTCCACACTAATGGCACAAATGCTTCTCGCAGCTGACGACGGGAGTGGAGTATATTGTCACTGTGAAGATTGGCCGGACCAAATGCAAGAGGAATGACTCCGGCAGTTCTTCCTGCCCCCTGCAAAGCAAGAAGCTGAGAAAGGTGTGTAGTGGGAGTCCTCCCAAAGGGACTTGGGAAGCGAACATTTCGAAAAGCACCAACTAGAAGCTGGCAGTTTTTCCACTTGTGTGGATTGGGGCTGGCTGGGGCCCAGCCCTGGAGCTCAGCCCTGGGGCTGTGGGCACCTCCTGAGGCACCTGGGGGGAGGAGAGGGGCTTTATATTTGGGCTGGCACAGCCCTGCACGCAGACCTCTGGTCGCCTGCACCCTTCTCCAGCCCGGCCCGCTCCCGAGACCCTCTGCGTGAAAGCAGTGTTTCCCTTGCCCTGGGGTCCTTCTTCTGTCTTCTCTCTTCCTCTCCAGGTCTCTAAGGTTGTCCGATTTCCTCCACGTTCCCTTCTGTTTCTCCTGGTTCCTTGGTGGTGCCCCTTGAAAGCTGGCAGATACAAGTGTCTCCCCCATGCCTGGGGAGGTGCGGAGGAGGGGAGGATGCCATTGTCCCTTGCTGGCCTGCGTGGCCCGAATCGCAGGGTCCTGCCAGGCCACAGGTTCCAGGTGCCCCTGCTGTGGTTCCCAAGTGGCCTGGTAGGGGGAAGGCAGGGTGACATTCCTGTTCCAGGCCGGCTCTCCCCTCTGCTTCTACCCTTGACTGTGGGCAGCTCCCCTGTCTGCTCATGGGGTTCTTGAGCTGCCACAGGGACAGACCCGAGGAGCAGGTGCCTGCTGCTCCCCTTTGAGAAATACTTCCCCCAAAGTCTGTTTTCTTTCTTCTTCCGCAGAGTTTAATTTGTGAGTCTTTGATCTACACCGTGCCGTGGATCAACTATTTCCAGCTCTGGAACAATTCCTGTCTGGAGGCCTGAGCATGCGGGCAGAGACCTCGGATGAGGGCGCAGACGACTGGGTTGTGTACTGGCTCTTATTAAACTGTAAAGGACCATATCTCCCTATTGGGGTCTCATTACACATGCACATACACACACATGTGCACACACGCACATGCACACACTTACCTTCACAGCCCACACACACTCAACAATGCTCACACTCAAGACACCCTCACACGCTCACCACTCACATACATGCACACCCACTGTAACACTCATCCACGCACCCACTCATACATGTCAAACCCATACACACTCACTGGCACACACATTCAGTGGCCTTCAAGGACTGGTGCAATCTTTTCTTCTTTTCTTTTTTTTTTTTTTTTGAGACAGAGTCTCACTCTGCTGCCCAGCCTGGAGAGCAGTAGTGCAATCACAGCTCACTGAAGCCTCGACTTCCCAGGCTCAAGTGATCCTCCCACCTAAGCCTCCCAAGTAGCTGGGATTACAGGCACACACCGCTATGTCCAGCTAACTTTTTTTTTTTTTTTTGAGACAGAGTCTCGCTCTATTGCCAGGCTGGAGGGCAGTGGCACGATCCCAGCTCACTGCAACTTCCGTTTTCTGGTTTCAAGCAATTCTCCTGCCTCAGCCTCCCAAGTAGCTGGGACTACAGGCATGCACCACCATGCCTGGCTAATTTTTTGTACTTTAGTAGAGACAGGGTTTCACTATGATGGCAAGGGTGGTCTCGATTTCTTGACCTCGTGATCCACCCGCCTCGGTCTCCCAAGGTGCTGGGATTAAAGGCATCAGCCACCACGCCCGGCCCCACGAACTTTTTAAAACACTTTTTTCGTGGATACAACATGTTATGTTGCCTGGGCTGGTCACGGACTCCTGAGCTCAAGTGATCATCGTGTCTCAGTCTCCCAAAGTGTTGGGATTACAGGTGTGAGCCAGCGCTCCCACCCAGCTGGTGCAATCTGAATAGAAGGTTGATGATCTTTGGGGAAACATCATTCTTTCTCCATCACCCCACCTCTCTATGGCTTTTCTGAATTTAGCATGTCCCTGAGCTTTGACCCTAGTGTGGGGAGCCCTATTTCTTCCCAGCACACACACAACACTGTGACTCACACACATTTTTGTGAGTGTGTCTGAGATTCCCAAGACAAAATGCACATGGAGTGACTCACTAGAGGGCTCACAGGACTCAGCCTAGAGTCATGCTCATGGCTCTGATATGACAGCAATGGGACACAGGGTGAAACCAGCAAAGGCCAAAGGTGCATGGGGCCAGGTCCAGAGAAAACCAGGCGGGAGCTTCCGAAGTCCTCTCCCAGTGCGGTCACACAGAGCACGCTCAGCTCCCCCAGATGTGAGCTGTGACAGTATGTGTCACAAGGAAGCTCATTAAGACTCGGCAGCCAGGGTTTTTATTGGCAGCTGGTCACGAAGGCAGCCTCTGCCTGGCACATGCTGAAATTCCAGACTCCCAGAGGAGAGCAGGGGTTCAACACCCTCACTGCTATACAGACAGTGTAGAGACACTGAGGACCTCTTACATGCAGGAAATGTTTTCCATCACTGTAGGGAGCTGTTGACCATCCAAGTTCCCAAACTCCAGCCATGGCCAGCCTTGCAGGCAGCCTTTCTAAGGACAGCAGTTCAGGCGGGCTGTGCGAGCTCTTTTCTGCACACCAAGTCATCGAGCCTCCCATGTTCTCATGACTGGTCAAACAAGACCTATGCTTTCTCCCCTTCTCTGGTTGATAGTTGGTTAGAGAAGGCGCATGTGCAGGGCGTGGTGGCTCACGCCTGTAATCCCAGCACTTTGGGCAGCCAAGGTGGGCAGATCACGAGGTCAGGAGTTTGAGACCAGCCTAGCCAACACAGTGAAACCTCATCTCTACTAATAATACAAAAAAATTAGCCGGGTATGGTGGCGGGTGCTTGTAACCCCAGCTACTCAGGAGGCTGAGGCAGGAGAATCGCTTGAACCCAGGAGGTGGAAGTTGCAGTGAGCTTAGATTGCGCCACTGTACTCCAGCCCAGGCGACAGAGTGAGAGATTCCGTCACACACACACACACACACACACACACACACACATACACACAGAGGGAAGGTGCATGCTAGACCAGAAATGGGGCACAGATAATGGCTGACAGCATGCCCGGTGTACCATTTGACCATCCGGCCTCTTCCCGGGGACCAGTGCCATCAGCGGGTCATAATGGCAACTTGGGGGAATATTGCTAAAGGGGAACAGTAAACAGAGCGAGAACCTCAAACTTGCCAGCAAGGCCTGAGGGAGAAGAGGAGATGGAGAGTTAAAGGAGATGAAATTCCTGGACGAAAAACCCCAAAACAACTTCCCCACAAACATCACAGAAACAAAAGGGCCGGAAATCACCCAGTCCTGCAAATCTAAGCTAATTGAGGGGTGACTGGGTGACCAACAGTGGCCTGCTGCACGTATTCCTCCATTTGATCATCATGACCACCCTACGAAATGGCAACTTTTCCTCCACTTTATAGATGAAGAGCCTCCAAAGGCAGCCTCTGTCCAGATTCTAACATCCTAGCTTAACACAGCTTGTTGGTTGCATTTTTAGAAATGGAGCCATACAGTATGTGTTCTTTTGTTTCTGGCTTCTTGCATTCAATACATCTGTGTTGTTGTGTGTAGTTATAGTTCACTTTCATGATTGTATAGAATTCCATTGTGTAAATATACCACAATTTATCTATTGTACAGATAATGTACTTTTGGGTAGTTTTTAGCTTCTAAGAACAATAGCTGCTAACAAGCATGTGTGTATTTGTCTAATGGTGGACACATGCATGTATTTTGTTTCTTTTCTTTTCTTCTTTTTGAGACGGAGTTTCTCTCTTGTTGCCCAGGCTGGAGTGCAGTGGTGCAATCTTGGCTCACTGCAACCTCTACCTCCTGGGTTCATGCTATTCTCCTGCCTCAGCCTTCTGAGTATCTGGGATTACAGGCACCCACCACCATGCCCAGCTAATTTTTTATATTTTTAGTAGAGATGGAGTTTCACCATGTTGTCCAAGCTGGTCTCAAACTCCTGACCCCAGGTGATCCACCCACCTTGGCCTCCCAAAGTGCTGGGATTACAGGTGTGAGTCACCGTGTTTCTATTGGATATATGCCTAAGAGTTAGTGGGTAATAGGATGTGCATATGTTCAGACTTTAGCTATTTTTTGCTCAAGACTTTCAAACATTGTTTGGTTTTTACCTAATTGGCTTTTCTAATGTTATTTACATATTGATTTAAATCTTGTTTAACCCCTAAGTTCTTATCTTTTAATATCTTTTATTTGTATGATCTAATTGTTCTATTTCTACCTTTTTTGTTTTTGCTTTCCAACTTTAGAGTCATCTCTTATTATGGTTATTGTTATTATTTTATTTCAATAGGTTTTGAGGGAGCAGGTGCTGTTTGGTTACATGGATAAATTCTTTAGAGGTGATTTCTGAGATTTTGGGGCACCCCTCACCTGAGCAGTGCACACTGTACCCCGTGTGTATCTGTATCTTTTTAAACACAATTTCATTGACGCTGTATTCGTTTTATAATGTTTTACTGAACTCTATGGCATTACTTTGAATTTTTTAAAGTGAACTCTGTCACCCCACTCCTGCCCACCTTGCTTTCACAACTGGCAAACAGGAAAGGTCGGCCTGAGCCAGCTTTGAGACAGGAGTGGGCACCCCGGCCGTGGCTGAGTGGAGGGAGGCAGCCCAGCAGAGCCCTCTGGCGATGGAGCAGTGCCAGGTGTTGAGTGTGGTGCTGGTTACACGATTGTACACATGTGACGACATGGCACGTGGGCACACACACATGTGCACACAAACGCAGAGTACCAATGCTGGCTTCCTGGTTGTGATATTTCTCTATGATGTGATAAGATGTAACCATTGGGGGAAACTAGAGGAAGGACATGGGGGATTTCTCGGTATGACCTTGGAACTTCCTGTGAATATATATTAACTTTTAAAAAAACTTCAAAGAAAGCCCCCACAATGTTGGCTGAGAAATCCAAGAGATTAATGGGCACAAATGTTCCACCTTCTCTTTTTAATCTCCCCAAGAATAATCATGACTGCCTTGTGGGCACCATAGCCAAAAATGTCAGAGAAGTGTTGAATGTTGACTAGTATTAAATTACCACCACTGCCACTGCCGGCATGCCTGCTAATGGCTGCTATTTATTTGAATGCCTGCTTCGCGTTAGGCACTGTGGTAAGCAATTTACATGCATGATCATCATCCATCTTTACAACTGCCTCAAGGAGTAGGTACCGTTATTCTCAGTTAAAAATGGAGACATTGTAGGTTAGCACCACCCCAGGCAGCTGGCAGAGGGAACCCCCCCCGGGCTTCGCCTGAAACACGACGTTCCAGTACTTCAGTAAGGAGAGTAAAAGCCAAAAAGCTATTTATTGTTTCAAAGACACCATCTTGGGGAGAGTGGGTGTGGCTGCCGTGCACCTCGGTGCATAGTTCACACATGAAAGAGCTCTCCTGTCGGTGCTCTGCCCAGAAATCTCTCAGGTCTTGCACTTTCTGTGCGTGCCAGTTCAACTTCCAGATGCCAGCCTCTGTGCCCCTTTATCTGTGCACTGTCTCTGTTGCTTACTCTGCCCTGGAGCTGCCACAGGCCCCCAGTACTAGAGAATCCCTGTCCCCTCAGAGCCAACACTGACTGGAACTGTTGGATAAATGCCCCAACTCCCTGTCCCCACAGGGAGATGGATGGCGTGTGTGTGTGTGTGTGTGTGTGTTGGCTATGGTGTCCCTAGAAGACCTTGCCCGTGATATTAAACCCAAGGCTTTTGTTTGAGCTCCTGGGAACAAGACTTTCTCCCTTTCTTACTGGATGTGAATGAGGACACACCTGATCCACTGAGCTGCTGGCAGCCTCCCTGAGACCACATGGAGGAAGAAGAAGAGTCGGGTGAGCCCGGCCACATCATCTAAGATCTTGAATCAGGCTGCGGAGTTGGGGGCTGCTTCCTCCCACAGCTGCTGTGCCCTCTGTGGAGAAAAAGCCCCCTGAACAGAGCACTCCTGGCTTCTC